AAGGGAGGAGAAGTAAATGATATAAAATAAACTGAACAAAACTGTGCCAATATTGGCCAAACTAAAATATGTAAACAAACATTTACCAAACATAAGAGAAACGCCAAAGGCATTTGCAAGAGCATTAGCCCAACCAAATTATAACAACATTTAAAAAAATAAAGTAAAAACTAAACCAAAGAAAAAAAAGACAGATTGAGAGCGTAGCTGAAAGACACAGTCAGGACAGCTACCAACTGTCGGGGAGAAAAGTGGTTGTCTTACGGAGTGTTCACACCAAACATCCGTGTGTCGTGGGGTATCGTGTGAGAGAGGCACAAAAGAATTGATTATTTATCAGGGCCCTTTCTGTGTTCCCACCAACTGTTCGTGTTCATGCGGTAGTGATAGTTGTCGTTCGTGTGTGTGGTGAGTTTTATGGCAGCCATAAAATTTCATCCATCTGCTCTCGTGTTGTGTGACCCACCGCTCCCTCACAGAGTCCAATAAATATGAGGACCATGAGGCAAAGTGCAACCACACGCTACTCTCTGAAATGTGTTCTCAGTTCTCACTTCCATGTTGATATAAAACATGCACGATAACGCATGAATAGACGGATGACAGGTGTGAATGGGCACATGTTCGTGTGTTAGATGAATGCACGATACCACACGAACGCGGATGTTTGGTGTGTATGAGCCGTTAGAGACAGACAGGCCGTTGTCTTGAACAGTGTCAATGTAATATAATAATTATAGAAAGAAATGTAAGGTAGGGGAGTGGAAAGTGGTGGGTTTGTATATGTGATTGTCTTGGACAGGTGGCCGTTAGAGCAGGTTCCACTGTGATGACAAGAATAAACATAATTCTTTAAAAAAGTAAAAACAAAATCAACAAAACAAAAATGTGTGGCACCCTGGAGGAATCAGGTACTCGTCAAAATACCAAATCCTAGAAACTTTTTGCGGTCCACTGGACAATTTTGATGGAATCCCTCAGCTGTTTAGATCAACTTGGAAGTACACTTTTGAGTAGAAATTTTCATTTGCAGTTTCCAAGTACACTCAAGCTTTGAAAATCACCAAACTTTGGCAGCCATTTTCTCGCCAATTTTACCTCTGACACTAGGTGATCCCCACCTTCTTCAACCGCAATATCTTTACTTGTATTCAAGATAAATGGGTACTTTTTTTTCCCACCAAAAACAAGACAAAAGAACAAGTTTTGAGATGATACCAGTAACTCTATATACCCAAGAATTGACGAGCATCTGATTCCAGGGCGCCGTGACACAAACGTCAAACTCAAAGAACTGAAAAAAAGTAGACAAACCTAAGCTACTATTGGAGTCCCTCAAACATGCAGGGTGGTGGTGGGGGAGACTAGACGGGGAGGGCCCTACAGGGAGGAAACAGTTCTCTCCCCCTCCTCCTCCTCCCCCCAGCTCTCCAGCAGTGCAGGAAGAGGGGTGGTGGTGGTGGTGGTGGAGGTGGTGTTGTTGTTGTTGCTGCTGCTGCTGCTGATGTAAGAGCTGCAGCTGAGCAGTTTGTTTGTCTTTGTTCTCCCAGAGGCGCTTGAGCTGGTTGTAGGTGCTGGACAGACATGCACAGTCCTTACCCACAACTGAAACACAGGAACGATAACCAGGCTAGTCGGGGG